ATTTTCCTGCTTGTGTCAACAACAACTTAATTACTAAGTAAATAATTTTGGATAAAAAAAAAAAAAGCATGAAAAAAAAAAAAAAAAAAAAAAAAATAAAAAAAAAAAAGACAACAAAACATATGAACATATGGTATTAGAAAACTGGCATTTCCTTCCATCAGGTCTTATACTGAAAAAAAAGAAAGGAATAGGAAGAAAAGTTGCTGTGTCACTGCTGCAAGACAGGAACTGCCATAACCGATGAGCCCCCTCAGTGGTCATYTTAGTAGTTTTGTCTCAGAAGTCTCTGGTATTGCCTCAAGCCAAAGCACTGTACAATTTCCATTAATTCTGGCAAACAGCTGAATGTCAAGTTGTTCTTCATAGCAGAACTCTGCAGCTTTTAGAAACCTATCACACCTCAAGGCAGCCTAAGTCTTACTGAGATTTGAGTCATCATTTGATTCAACTCACTATCTTCTTGATGGTTTACACAGTGCTGATGTGACTTGATATTAAAAAAAATATGCTACATTGTGTTTCCCAGTCATTCAAATACTTTTGAAATCTCAGCCATTACCTCAGCCTAAAATGTGTTACTAAAGCAATTAATCCATAAGCACACAAATTTAAGAGTGCCTTGTATTTGTCAAGTTCATGAGGGTAACTAAGCATTGCATAAACTAAAATTTTCTTCTATTGGATGTGTTCCACTCCCGCTTAATGCTCTCTGGCCTTGTCTAATAGCAGAAGGAAAGAAAAATAAAAGAAAGAAGAATGCATTGAGTTCACATCAGGTACTAYTTTATTTGCTGTGCCTACTGCTCATCCTTTGCTACTTTAATCTCATTTGTTAATCCTCTTATACAATTTTTCCTAGGACTCATTTAATAACTTTCCTCTGGACTCTTAATGACATTGTAGTGCCCTTGGCTGCTGTGCAAGATAAAAAACAATGTATTTGCTTGGTTTTGGACTTTTAATGTACATTTGATTCATTATATATTTTGAATATCTGTATKTACTATATAGATGACTACAAAATTCCAACTAATCAATAAATATGTCATTAATTTAACTCAAGGTACAAGTAGAATCCAAGTAAAGAGCATTTTAATCAAATACTATTAAAACTGACTGTTGTTAAAAAAGGACCACTACCAATATAAAAACTAGTGTTAGAAAAATATGTCAACCATAGACACTTGAGAARTCCTAAGCAAAAGTAATCAAACATTACTTCTCACAAAGCTAAATAACAATTATGGGTTACAATTGTTAGTAACAGAAGTTGAAGTATTTTGATACAGTAAATTGACTAGATTCCTACCAGATTAAAACAGAAAAAAACATGTGGATAACAATGACTAAGTCTAATAACAGTAGGTATCTCAGCACTTCTGCCTCTTCTAATCTAGGTATGAGTGAAATTGGGTGGTTATAGCAACATATTCCCTCTGGGATACCCTCCTTGCCTCTAGCAATGTAGACAATAAATGAAAGAAGTCTTCAGTAATGTAATTTTTCCCATATTTATTCKCTGCCTTTACAGAAGTATCTGGAAGTAACGCACCCTTGTCTTTCCTGGACAATGGTTTGGCTAGGAGTTTCTCAGCTACAACGATGTAAAAGATACTTCGGATTAATTATTACTACTCAGTGTAGTGATTAATCCCATTTTTCAAGTTCAGTTAGGAACAAAACACTTAGTATTTCGATTTATAGCAGCTGGCTTCAACAAGACAGCTGRCTTCAACAAGATTGCCAAGTGAGTAATCTGTACTCAATAATTTATTAAACGCTACCTCTCTATATTCACCTACTAAAAACTTCTTGCAGCACAAAAAAAAAGGTCAATAGAAATAGCCTTGAGTGTTTTAACTTTGAGCACTGCAATGTCTTTTCCAGCCTAAACCAATCTATGATTCAATACACTATGGAGCAAAGRCTAGATGAATCATCTGAAAAAAAGTCCCTGAAAGTTGTAACTAAGCAACACAAAATATGTTTAGATTTTGCCAATCTTACACAAAATGAGAGATTCAACTTTAGAAAAGTACAAGGAAAAGTCAAATACTTTKAAAGAAATCTGAACAACGCTTTTTAAGTGGTTGTGTTAGTACCATCTGAGAAAATGAACAGTTGTGGAAAGCACACTTATTAAGGATACAAACATTTTGAAACAAAAMTTTCTTAAATTCTAACAGGTGTCAAATGAATTTTTATTACTTTTMTTTTCTACAAATTATCCCATGTTTTAAGACAGTCTTATTCCACAGAAGGGAAGCATAAACATGCAAAGGGAGAGTCAATTGGCCTGTTTTGCACACACTGGAATCTCTAAAGATCAGGGGAAAAAAAGTCCTGTATAAAAATAAAAATGCATTTTTTTTTCCCCTGGACTAAAAACTGGGTCCTGTTTCTTACTTCTTCTGTACATACTGTATAACTGAAATCACAGAAACAGGAATGCTTATGTGMATATAACTTCTGTAAACTTGAAGTCAATGGGAGATTCACCACTCATTACAATGATGCATGTAAGCAGAATGTTTAATTTGTTTAATTGCCAAATGATGGAAMAGCTGATTCCACACAGGATAAATATTAAACATCTGCTGAAAATCTACCTGCTTTCCAGGAATAAAGTCTACACATAAGAAATTTTTACATAAATTAGAAATAACGCAATCCATGTAGCACACAAAAGGCATAACCTACCATGACTTACAGAATCCTTCCTTCTCAAATWATTACCTTATCTAGTGTCAGAGAACCTTCCTCTGCTTCTGTTGATCCTTCTGGTAGGAGAGGAGCAGAATCTGGTAYTAATCCTAAAGGCTGTTCTTCATATTCTTCTGAAAAGAGGAACCATAATTCGCCATTATTAGAGCTATGAAAGAATTCTGTGAACCACCATGACATTACAATCTAGCCAAAAACAGGATGTGAACTAAAACAGGTGAAAAATGCTTGAAGCCAAATGTTGTATGAGAATTTATGAAAATTCTCCCATAAACCTTTATTTATACTAGTAACCTTAGATTTAAATGTGATTTGTATATTGGTTATTGTATAAAAGTATTCAAACATTTACCTAAGAACAAAGCCCATACTGTTAGAAAACAGCTGATACTTAACTAATGTATCATACACATCTCTTGATTCAATAAGGTGGTCACCAATTGAAAAAGCGAATTATTTACCAGAGATTTTTTTGCAATTGGACAACTGTCTCAAAAATTTTGTTTCCTTTTTTTTTTCCAGAACACTTTTTTTAAAGACCATCAATGTAGACTCTTCCTACAGATTTCTCTGAGTTATTTTGCAAGGAGGAAAGCCAGAAAAAAATGCACCAGATGTATAAGGAGAGRACAAAATGGAAGGGCAGTAGTAAATCTAACTTAACCTCATCAAGTGAGCACAGTATTATGTACAAGTGTTTTTTAGGAAAGAGATTTCCCTTTAAAGACAAAGGGAGGAACTAAAAAATGGGGGAAACCATCTTGAGAAATATTGGGTTGAAAGATTTCTAAATACCAGTATAACTGATAGTTTGATAGTTTAGGAAGGCAAATGAATTTCATGTAGTGTGCAACCACATGCTGTGTCCACAAGCTGAATATTTACAAATGCCMGCACACTGAGCATTTTTACAGCAGTTGACTAAATAGGATGCTTCCTCTATTATTTTTTTCAGATTCATCTAGCTTTTTCTTTATCAGTTTAATCAAAACTGTTTTAATGGAAAGGATCTGGTAGCAAGTTCAATGCTCAGATGAGAGATTTAACCATTACTCTTATTTTAAAACTTCATACTAAAATTCAGTTATTTGGGAACTGAACATTCTCCATTAGAGCGGGGAGGGTGGAATTAGGAGTTTGTACAAAAGCTAGATCTAATGGAAATTGCCTAAGGGAAAAAACCAAGATGTTTGTGAAATACTCTGATATGTCTAAAACAKTGCCAAACTAGAGCCTGAATCTATGTTAGAAGAGACAAGGCATCAGTCCAGTTGACAGATAATTAAGTCAGTACTACATAAGCTAGAATTTTTAACCAAGTGCAATKGTTAGCTAAATTTATACAATATTTGCACCACAATAAGTCATCATTATGCCACGTGTGTACTACATAAATTCCTATCTTCAGAACAATAAGCAGAACAGCACGGTAAAATCTTGGAGCATCAGTTAAACCCACACCGGTATACCAGGAAGACGGCAGTAAACTTACTTTCACCAGCCACATAATTAGCTGGAAAATAGCCTTGCTGTCCATTTGCTAGGCTGCCAAACCACCAGTTATCATTATCTTTGTATAACACTTGGATAATGTCACTGCGATGGATGGTTAGCTCATCTGATCGATGCGCTGTGTAGTCATAAAGAGCCACTACCTAAAAGAGAGATAAGAGCACCACAGCTTTATCACAACCATGCCACAGAGAAAAAAGCGCAACATTCACTTCCTCTTGCAGAAAAGCAGCTGAAACCAAAGCTGCACTTCGGTAAAAGCTGAGGCTGCCTCAAGTCTTGCTAATGGGATCAGGGGTGGTGGGAAAGCAGCAGGAGAGGCAAGATAAAGGACTGTGGGATTGCAGAAATGGTTAAGAACATTCAATTCACTAAGATTAGCTTCAAAACAGCAGCTGTTAGTTTTATAAGCAATTTGCTTGTGAAGCAAAAGGGAAAAAAAAAACTTCATACAGTCACTTTCTCAGAATTGTTACACCACCTTCAGATCCCATTCTCTGTGTGCTCATGAAGCATATGTGTTTGAATAAATACTTCAACTGTATGACAGTTTTATCCAAGGAAAAATTTAATACAAAAAGACATTGCAAAGTTTTGCTTTGATCATTGCATATCTTCTTTTTTTCTTTTTTTTTCCTGTTTGTTTTGTTTTGCTTAGAAATCAGCATTTGGATATACAATTTTATAAATATCTGCAAAAAATACATTTAWATTCCATTTCACCTAACAAATCTATTTGACAGTGAAATACAGTGCATCAATAGTTTTATGAAAAAGAGTACTAACAGTCATCAGCACAATGTATACATTTTTATAAATTACTAGAAGCCTGTTTTCTACCCTGAGTATGAAAATATCAATACAATTTCTTACTTATTTCCTATGTCCTATGAACAAAATTCTGCCCTATGAACTCTGAGCAGAAAAGCATGAAAGGAAAACAAATGAACTGAAAGAATATGGGAATTGCTCACTTCCTTCATCATAAGTGAAGAGCAAAATTATGACCTATTTTACACACAGAATGCTGCTTCCCTACCTACAATCTTCACCTCATATTCCTCYAGGAAATTCTAAGTAGAGGTCAGAAACAGGGATCATTAGGAGCAGTAGGAGGGTTMATGGGACTGAAGGAGATAGCTAAGTTATGATGATCAAGATAGAATAAAACCTTCTATTTTATTATTGATGCATGCTTTTAAATTTTAGGACTGCTGAATTCCATACTGCTTTTTTCATTTCTATTTCTGCTTTGAGTAAGATCACCTGCGAGTTGCGTGTGTAAAAATATAGCCAATGTCACTTGTATTTTCATAATTCCATGTCACCAATTAAACAGATTAAATCAGTTATGAATGGGAAAAGATGGCAATGATTACATCATTGTAAATTTTATGTGGCACTTTGTGAGCTGGTCAGCATCAAAGAATTGGTTCCAGCATAGTTTTCAGTAGATAGGAAATTTGTCTAAATTTGCGKGCAGTAGTCCTGAACTTACATAAAGAAGCCAAACAATGAAATGCCTTTTATGATAACTCCCCTCCTTGCATTAGGAAAGCTAACACAGTAATTACAGATGATGTTGACCGTACAGAAATATGAACTGTAGAACAGAACCAAACTAAACCACACTAATGAGCACCACGATCATGTCCAGTAAGAGGTGCTCTAACAGTGCCCACTTCAGTTAAATAACAACCTCATGAAAACCATGAGGCCACTTACAGTAAAAAAACCCAAAACCCAAAAAGGAATGTAGGAATGTAACACTAAGTACTTGGCAGCATGAAAAACAATGAAAGGCAGGGCAAAACCTACTTTGTTTTGCAGTGYCTTTTGTAAGATAGTTTGGGTGAAAATGTTGTGTTTTTTGGAAAAGATTACAAAAATTCAGTCACATGGGAACTGCCACAAGTASTTCAAACCATTTAAGCAAGTCCCACTGACTGTCTTTCGGAAGTAAGAAATTAATATACCCATGTGTCCTGTAATACAACTAGTTTAGTAAATATGGCAATTTGAATAAAATGTGGAAATTACCATTATATTCTCTGTTGAAATATGATCATAAAAATGACTATACCAGGATATAGGAAATGCCCTTCAGAACCAAAGAAGAATACAAACCATTCACAATTAGACCTAAAGAAGTGGACTTTCTTCAGGTGTGACATTAAAAAATTTGTCAAGTTCTATTTGGGTCCAAGTCCAAGCAAAAAAAAACCAAAAAAAACCCCCAAAAAACMAAAAMAAAACAAAAAAAAAAGCCTCAACAAAATTTTACAACATTGTTTTTCAAGAGTGATATAAAAGCCACAATGTAGTTATCCAGTTATGAACATCTTTTTAGATGAGGGAATTGCTCACTTATGAAGATCTTTTTAAGAATTACCAAATCCACAGTAGAGAAACAAAAAATCCTTGGGATCACGCTAAGAAAAAGGGCATGCTTTCAGAAGCAGATACAGTATAACAAGTGCAGAAGATATTGCAAAAAAATTACATAATACTTACTGTCTCTCTCCCGGGTGGACAACTGTTTCCTCCTCCCACTCCCAATGCAGTCAGGCTGTCATCATTCTAGAAGAATAAATTATTTTAAATTTTAACATGAAGCAGTTTGCTAAACTATGATTGCATTTTCATTTCTCCTGTAAGACAGTAAGAATTATCTGCAACAAAGTGCTTTTTTTAAAAAAAGAAAAAGCAGAAGTGATGTTAAGCAACACTGAGGAATATTGGCTATTGGCTGGTAGATGATTAGAAAAAGATACTAAATTTTTCAATTATGTACCCCACACTAAAGACATAACTGGACTGATGACTGATGCWGTCCAAGCTTTTTGTACTGCAAACACTACAGCAGGTATTGAAGAAGTTGTGGCAGTGAACTTTAACCTCTGAAACAGTATGTAAAAGATGTCACTTCCACATAATGGAGCATTTCAGGTTGTCTTAATAACCAATATTTTCCTTTTAATTCTAATTGTTCTATTCTCACCACTTAAGACTTTCAATGAATTCAAAAGAATAGTAGGTAAGCAAGCATCAGGATAAGCCTGGACCTAAAAAAAAAATGATTTCTGTATAATAATAGAATGTTTAAGCAGAAAGAAGATTTAGAATAGAAAAAATATGAAAATTAACAGAGGAACAACAAACTAGCAAAAAAAAAGGAAGAGCTGGAAGTCCTTTGCTGGTGTTGCTTAATTATTTTTCTAATGGTCTGTCTTCACTAAGGGCAAACCAGTTTCCCCTTGATTTTGTGCGCATGAAAGAATACACACTACCACACAAAATAGAAATATTACACTGCAATTAAAATATTTTAGAGAAGTCAAATGTGAGCTTTGTGTAGTAAACAACATTTCCCCCCTAGCAGATATACCGCATTATAAACATTTGAATTTGAGAATTTATATCAAACAGACTTCACTTTTTTCACATTTCACAGACAGTCCTTTATCAATCTTTGGCATGAACTTCTTTCTGTTCTTGTGCTTTTAAAAATATATATTGAAAATGTCTTGTTCTTTTTATTCTCAATGTTTCATTTTTTTAATTTATTTTTTATTATGGTGGTCCAAGGTACATCATAAAAAATCACAAAGAAAATCACTGCAAATCCTCACTGGAATAAAYGGCATTCTTGAGATCAGGGGTTCTTGCCCTCAGTTGTTTTCATAATTTAGCTGAGCTTATCCCATACAGGAAAGAAATCACTGACTATCCTGAACTCAGAGATTCCATCCAGTCTCCAGATTGTTTTGGCATTGCCACAGTAGACACACACAGTAGTTACAGAGGAACTCAGTATAAAATTGAACAGTTGCACTCAGTTCTTATCATCTACGAAAACATTTAAGCCTAGCACCTAAGAGTTCTGAATAATAATGCACATGCACAAAAGGAAAAAAAAAATTGTAACTGCCTGATTTGATAAACAAATTTTGAAGAAAGACTGGTGGAGCTGCAGTTCAGAGTACAAGGTTTGTTCAGTGGTCTACTGGTAGTCAGCACTGCAGTACAGGTTTCAGCTAATTCTCATTTTCCATTCTCAAGCTTAAGAGAACTGTACAGGCAATGTGCTTAGCCCGTGGGATGGGAGTGCCTCCTGTTGCTCAAAAATGATTCATCAGAATTATTAGCAGTATTATTCAGGTATCTAGTTCAGGTACTCATATTGCCCCAYTATTGTGTCTCAATCTGTCTGTCTCTCTCCTGTTTTTAATAAAGTATTTATGTGGCTCTCAAACACTCGAGAAGAGCTTGAAAAGAGCAAGCTGTTTGGAAATAACAAGCTAAAATCTGTGAGTCACCCCGAGACTATGCCGAATRTTCTCAGACACTGCCTTAAACTTTTAAGGCAACAACAATATGAAGAGGTGCCTCTTAAAGAGATTCTCTGAGTATATCCCTGGCTGCACGAACTTCTACCTCCAGCTGTCCAGGGCAATAGCCATGGCTGTCTACAGCTACTGCAAGGCAGCAGAGCTGCCTCTGGCATGCCATGCTGTTCCTCAAGCAGCGTCAACTACCATTTATGCTGCAAGAAACACCCAACAAAAACTACCGGCCTTTAGCTTAGAAATATATTTTTTTTTTAAATGCTGTGTCGCAAGATTTAGGCACATTTTCAGGAATTCAGAAAAGGAACTTGCATACTGAATTTTGTGACTACATCATTCTTAATACAATATTTATGTCTCATTTTCTCATGGAGGATGGAAACTAGCTAATCCTTTTCTTGAACTGGAACAGATGTGGGGCTATAGCTGTGTTCAAAGGAGTTGGTCTTTTGGGGAGGCAGACCATCTGTGAGAAACAGAAACTAAATGCTTGCTGAAAAAGTGTGCCMTTTCACACTGATTGCAGCTGAACAAAACTGTTCGCAGCTTTCAGCATCAAGGTACATCCTCAGAGGAAGAGAAATAGATCCATCAGTTGATGCACAGCTCTAGACCATGGAGTATCACACTGGTTATCCATGACTAACCTACTTAGATACCCTTCACATTTCTAACTCAAAACCAAACAAAAATGTTTCAAGACACTGATACAAAAGAGGACACTGCACATGAGAATAACCCAATACATTGTTGTATCAAGTTTTATCAATTCCCRATAATAGCTCTAATTAAAACTGTTATGGCTGCTTTTTAATGGGGTAGTTTCAGTGTTTGCACAAATGGAAGTTTTGGTTTTTTTTGATGCAGATGTAGAGTGGTCAACAGGATTTGGGCATCAGACAGCACTCATTCCCTCAGGAGAAGGAGCACGGAGTAAGAACAAAGTGGTATCTCATTGCTGCCTTTTCTGTAAAAACCTCAGCATTTCATTTCTACAACTGAACACATACATTTCAATTAACACAATATCAAAACTCGAAGAAAGAAATATGGAAAAATGTGAAGTCTAATGATTCATATAGTTTCAAATGCTTCTTCTTTATATGTAAACATGTTCTTYATTTTAACAGAATAAACATACAGATTAAGTCCCACTTCTAATTAGACATTAACTCTTAATAATAACACTTGGAAAATAAGCTTTTCYATGATTAATTTTAGGCAGACCCTACACATAAGAGGGTGRACCCTAATGTGTATGCATACAGGGCCAAAGCTACTSTTYCTCCTTTTACCATTAAYGACAGACTCAGGGACATGAAGAAGGACAAGCATCTATTTCCAGGATGCTTCACAGCAGCACTGCTTCCCTCCACTCCAGCTCCCCAAACCTGCTATCTGCCGAATGGAAGAGAAACTGGGAATATTATTCCAGCAAACACTCCAGTAAAGACACAAGGAATGTGTGTTTACAGCTTCTCTTGTCTGTCAAACAAATCTGTGCCCAGTGTGTAATACCCTAAATTCTGAGACTGTTACCTTATGGGGTTGGGGGGAGCTTGTTGCCACTTTTGGTTTATGGTGTTTCTTTCTAATTTTAAAGGAGAAACAATAAGAAAAATAGAGTTTGACTGAAAACCCTTGGTTTGCTTAAAAGATAATACTTTAAACATTTTAAAATTCTACAGAATAAATCTGATATTTTAATGCTGATCCATTGTTTTCCTTTTTCCTTAAGAATCTAAGGGTTAGAAATTTATTTAATTATCTCCTTCCCTAAGAATGCTATGCAATCTCTTTACTCCAGTAACAGAAGTTTTCAATTAAATGCTAAATAAGATGAGACTTAAAAGAAAAGAGCTGAATACTGTTAGCACTTTTGCATTTCTGTTCTTGTTCTCTGGTCCAATGCGGGTCCAGTGCTCAGGACATCTAACTGCAAATTTAGTCTAAGGGAAACGGAAGTATAAGTGTCATTATTAATAGCTAAATTTAAATTACGCTAAAAGTATCAATTGCTGAGAATGATATATTCTTATTCAGGCATAATAATCTGTCTGTAGACACTGTAAAGTTACTTTCTTAGGCTTCAGATGACTACAGTCCTGATTTGATTACAGCTCTTCAATATTTAATAAGCATGGGAATCTATAATTTGCCTAGAGGAAAAAAGGACCAAAGCTGCAACAGGCAGCACTTTATTGAAACCTGCAATGTACAAACAGAAATCAGAAATGCAAACACAGCTGCTGCAGTAAAGCCTACAAGGATTTAAATTTAAAAAAAAAAAAAAAAAAAAAAAAAAAAAAAAAAAAAGGAAGAAAGAAAAAAGGAAAAAAGATCAATTCAGAAGCATGTGAACGATTCCAGCTCCTGGAATGATTCAAAACCTCTTCAACTATTTTGTCATTTCTAAATACACCACTTTTTTGATATCAATTACTCAGTTAACCTGCAGTTATATGTACTACTGCATTTTTAACAGAAGTAACAAATATATTCAWAACCTTAATTTAAGCTCTCTCAGAAAAAAAACTGTTTTAAATTAGCTGCTACCTAGCTTTTCATGAAACAATTGATCCTGCAAATGTTTATCAAGGTTGCTGTGGTGGAGAACACTACAGTACTGGTTGAGCAACTCATATTTTTCCCTAAAAAATTACATCTTGATGGCTAAAAAATTGAAAAAGTGAAAACAGGAACCATTTAGCAGCTAACATAACAGCAATGTAAAACCATGCTTTCAAAATTTCTTGGTGAATCCTATATATCTTACAAGCTTTCCACAACTGTCTTAAAGAGATTCTGTTGAAAAAGGTAAGTCCAAAAACATCCAAAATCCTAAGCAATCTAAACAAAACTCCAAATTGAAACTACAAAACAGCTACTAATGATCCAAGTTAATTTATGTCCATTTACAACATTTTTCTCAAAAATTACAATTAGTGCAATTGTAACAGAATATTAAACCATGGCATTCTATCCACAGGTGCAGGAGAATTAACATCTCCAGTACAACAGGCCCAGCTCCATAGAGACACAAATGCATTCAGTATTCTGACGCACCACTTACTCTTTCTTCATTGGTTTCTCCATATATTTTGTGTTTAATACAGGTTCATCAAATGTATAGTTGCAATTAATGGCATTTACAGATTCTGTTGGATTTTTAATATGGTGATCAGCAAGCCAGAAATAAAGAAATGAATGACTATAATTAGTAGCAGTTTACAATCGATTTTTAATAGATAAGCCATTAAGTAAAGAGGGGATAGCTGTGATTTCACTCCTAATAAAAAGATGAAGTATGAGTATGAGTGAAAACAGGTGCTGCAAAGAGAACTTGATTCCAAGTTATTGTCTAAGCTTTTCTCTCAGCCACTTATCAACATCTGCTTTGATAACACAGGAGTGTGATTTTATCTTATTTCTAAACAACAAAAAGTAAATAATGCAAAAAAATTAAGCTTTTGATTTGCAGCTATCTGATCTCAGCTGCTCATAGCGTAAGCATAAGCTAATTTGGCCATGTAGACAATTGGTTTGAAGATATCTCTTTTTTGAACAAAGACTGGACAAAAAAAACACCTCTCTACAATGAGAACTTGGGAATAATGACATTTTATAGTTAAACATCAATATAAAAAAATGCAAAAAGAGATTTCCTTACCGTATGTAGTCTACCCAATAGTGTTCGACTAAGAGGATTTCCTACTGGGCTGATGCACCCTGTGAAAAGAAAAGGCTGTGAATTTTCTGCTTGTTATCCTTTTCCATCGAATAAACCATTTTATTTTAAAATCATTATGTTAGCAGGATATGTTTGACAAAATTCTAATGAAAAGCAGCAGCATCTTTCAGTCACAACTATGCATCCTTCAGTCAGGAACAGTTGGAGGGTTTATTTAACTAACAGACCTGACACAAGGTTAACTAATCCAATATTTCCATTCAAATGATTTGGAGAAGTAGCTCAAGCTATGTCCACATGCCACCTCGTGCTCAAAGCTGACACTATTATCTAGGCTGTATTGCTTTTCTCTTCATTGAATTTCCAAGTAATGCATACAAAGTTTTCCAACAGAAATGATCACAAAAACTCACAAAGGAATTACTTCCTTATTTTATCTGAAAGAATAACTATTCCTATTCAGTAGTTTCCTTTGATCATCTGAGTTCCTATCACAACACATCTTGCTGTTTATTTTATTCACTCTCTACATAGCACACTTGAACAAGTACTTGTAAATTCTTTTCTTTTCAAACTATTATGTTAACTACTAAGCTCAGGAAAATCCTTTTATCATCTATGGATTTATCTTTTTGTTATTGGTCTCCTCAGCTGTATACTTAAGAAAACATCTTAAAAAGAAAAGAATACAAAAAAATCTGAAAATCGTTGAACATGACAGCGAAAAATGCCACSACTTCATTGGAGAACAGTTTCTCAAGAACAGAAATGCCAGGCAACACAGAGTTAAGCTCACTGGCTTTTCTCTGTGAGATACTAGCTTTGAAASAAGTTTTGTTTTTAAAGAGAAATAAGTTCTGAAAACTCATTTTCATTTGTCACACCAAAAGCCTACTTTTAAGGTGTCCAGTATCTGAATAAAGGGCACTTTTCAGATTCGGATTCCCATGTACTGGTAGAGCTCCAAAAGGAAGCTTGCACAATTCCACCTACRGTACACTTTCTAAAGCTTAGTGGTTTTGACTTTCACAGGAGATTTAGTCATAAATCATTAAGATATTTAGAGATTTCTAACTAGAATAAAATGCAAGCTCAAGCAATTGTAGTCAAAGTATGCTCCTGCAAATCTGCATGTGACTAATGTTGTGAGAAATCCTAAATACATGCAATAATGGATTATTCATGTATAATGGATTATTCATATATTCATACCTTCATGTATGAATTAAAACATTTTGGCCTTAATAATTTCAGAAAATCTTGTACAAATTGTGAAATACTTTCTTTYGAAAGGCTTACTTTGCTTTCTATTACTTTCTCCCACCTCTTTGGAGCAGAAAAAGATGAGAATATGAACCATTTCCTAAATTCAATCTGTACTCCACAAGAATAGTACTGAAGGTAACCTTTTTCTGAACAAGCTATTCGCTAAAACAATTGTTCGGCACTAACACCAAAAGTCAGAAAGGATACTGCTCCTGTTGCTATCATTATCTACATACTCACAAATTTTTAAAACCAGATGCTACAGAGATAATACATATGGACATACTGTTGCATACAAGTGTCATATCAAGTCTTTGAATAAAAAAAGAATCCAACAAACTGAAAACCAATAAAAAGTCTGTATGACGATTTTTCTTTTTTAGACAGCTGATTTGAAYATGGCAGTGTTGTGGCAATTTACACAAACCATACTTTATTTAGTAAGATTTAAAAATATTTAAAATATTTGATAAAAACATTTGGGTTTTTTTCAAAAACATTCAAGTTTTAATTAAAAACAACAATTAATCTGCATTTTTATCAGTAGCATCATTGACCTTYTTATTTTTCTACGGAAAATACACAACTTCCAAGTGCTCCTGGACTGCACATTTATGGATGCGAGTACTTCTGTGTAACCTCTATATTTAGCTGCTTATCAGGTGAAAACTTTATGGTTAGACTGATATTCCCACTTATGCTTCAATAAAGGGCAGCACAGAACTGCTATGCTGCAAGCCTACGACAGAGACAGATGTGTAACTCAAAGATAGAAGGAATGCTGTGTGGAATTCTAGAAGCTGGCACTGCTTTACACTCAGTGATTTCCATGACTAGAGTCTAAATAAACAGAAAATTCTTATTACTTTCTTGAGGTATAAACAGACCACAGCACACCTGGGTCCAAACACTCTATGATCATGCCTGCTGGTTACCCCAAAYTAGTCTGTAGTGTTATCTCTAAGTTGTTTTTAGTTATCAAGCGTTTCTTTAGTAGTCCCAGCATTCGAAATGGTCATATTAAAAATCCCCAAGCAAACAAAACAAATCCAAACCAACAAAAAAACCTGTCCAAGTCTTCCTCATTCACAAAACAAGGTCCATTCAGTAAGCAAGGGAATATCCATCCCTTCTTCCCCAAATGAAGAAGTAGAATTTTAAAGCACTGTCACACGGCTATGGGCTTGATATGGTTCCATGCTTGATGAAGCATGTAARTGACATCAAGCAGGTGTGACTAACAGCCTCAGCAGTGCTTGCTTTGGTTCTCTCATCCAGGCTGTACACGCTTTTCAAACACGATATTGAAACTGAGGTCCTAATTCCAGAAGGACATTCCCCCTTCATCTAAAAAATTAGGTTTACAGGACACCGTGACCTGCTGGGACTCTCACTTAGTCTGAGCTTATAGAAAGGTCATTAAATCCCTTGTAAGGTCAAGCCTAAAAAACCCTCACGTTAATCTAGACTGTCYTATCTTAAGGATTCTTCAGAATCACTAACAGAGAAGCATTTTTATTAACACAGAGGGTTTACTTGAACTCCCCAGCAATCTTCTTTCTTAATGGCATCATCTGTCTTTACCTTCAAAATCATATACATCCTGAGAAGCTAATCTTCTCTATGAAATTATCAACATTTGACTTACTGCGTTTCCTATTACTCTGCATTGATTCTTCAGTGGTTTCCCTTGTACGGAATTTTACATGAGAAGAAAATTTAATTCTTGAAGAACTTACTGCCAMTGTCTAGCTGCAATGTTAGGCATCTCAAAATCACAGATGCAAGCACTTTTCCTCAAATGAATTTTCACATCAACATAATTTAACAGCAGGACAGCTGTTCTTTAGGGTCCATGTAATCCTATATTGTTAAAATCATGTTGTGAGCCCAAGCCTGTGCTGACTTTAGGGAAATGACTACCAAAGAACTGGTTTGAAAAACCATCTATCTGTCTRCCTTGAGAGAAGTCTGAAACTGTGGTAGTTTCCTGCCTAATTTGAACAGTGAACTGAAAGYGTATCCTCAGTTCCCCTCAGTCACTTCTGGCAAAAAACTCTCACTACATATAAATACAAAATACATCACTAGAACTGCAACTAAAGAGAAAAGCAGACAGAAGCTTTTGGGAACAGCTGTCCTGTCCAAAATGTGTCTGTACTACCAAGTCCCCAGTTTCGTTGCATCTTTCACTGAAAAACTACTCTCTGCTCTAGAGAAACACATTACTGTGAGGTGATGAAATCCTAGATCAAATTAGATCAAATTCTAAACAGYTGGACTGAAATGCACAAAATAGATGAGTTCACTTCCAAACAGACTTGACTTATACAGAAATTGCTACCAGCAACAGTGACCCAAAATARTACGATGCAGAACAGGAAAGAAGTCTTTTTAGAGAGCCACATAATTCCAMTATTATTCTACTGGACTGTCTACAGCCACCCAATGTGAAATGTTTTGGGACAAAATGCTTTTTAAAAAAGGATTAGATAACATTTATTACAGAACATATTTTAATAATTTTTTTTCAAAAGAAGGCTTTTTCTCTCTTTCTGAAATGCTCTTGATAAATTAATTTTTTAATTATTAAAGGTATTTGAACATAATAAATCTCTAAGGATTYCAGTCACATGGAATCTAGAGTTAGTGAAATCAACCAGAAGTTCATCCTGGAAAATACTCAGAAAATCACAAAACAAAGGACAAATACATATCCAAGAATACCGAAACATGTTAATATTCAGACATTCCTGTGACAAACACCTCTAAAGCACACAGAAAGAAAAAAGAAATTACCTACTCCAGTTACATATGATTCTGTTTTTAACTTAGTTTTACTTCAGGTTTATACTAATTGCTAATGTCTCAGAACTCACAAAAAGATCCTGGAAGACATGAAAACAAACAATGCCTCTAGGAAATGTTATTTCTTATTACAGACATTCTTATGAATTATATCATGGTCTCTTGCAACACAGTGCAGTTAAAACACACCAATTAAATAATAAACACTGGAAAAAAATCAAGTCACATACAAGATGAATATGCTCATTCTTCTTTCTGCTCATCTTCTGTGGCTTTAAAACTATTTCCAGTAAACAGAAACATGTTTTCAGCATAGYCAGCTATTGAGAAGTATGACCTTTGTGACCAAAAGATCTTTTAGCATGCACGACAATCTCTACTTTGGGTCTCAAAGGAAAGTTTTGAGGTTTTCAAAGTAAAAGCTTTCAGCTATTTCTGTAATTTAATTTTTCAACGTATGTATGAAGTAAGAGAAAGAAGATAATTTTGTAATGATCTAAATATATATTAATCTTCCCTCAAAGACTTTATCCTCAAACCACTTATGCTCTAATAGATCAAAAAGAATTAATTAAATAAAAAGATTGTTTATATATTGAGTAAGAACTTGTTTTCCTTTATTTAAACACAGGATCACAAATACATTTAAAATCCACCACAAATATTTTCAGATGCAGTTCACATAAAATGAAAGGTGTGGATGCACCCACTTAACACAAGCATACCTTTTTGTGTTACCAGCAAAGCAGATGTTTCACTAATACCAATTGCTGCAGATGAAAGCCTACTTCCATCTCTGCTCTACATAACTTAGTCTAGCACCTATGATTTCGAAGATATTCCAGATTGAACTGGAAAATTGATAGRACCAAAGTGTATTGAAAACTGGTTTAATGAAGTTTAATCTGTATCATAGTGACAAGACAAGAGGAAATGGCCTCAAACTGCATCAGGGGAGGGYCA